CATGAGCTCACCAATCTCATCTGTCCTGAGCACTCTACATGGCTGTCTCTCCCCAAACATTCCCCTAAAGCAGCACTGAAAATCAGGCACTACCACAGCCCACCACTCACAGCACCTCTCAGGCCTTCTACCCCTTCATTTCATCTTTTCCTTGTTCTCACTGTCCTGACTCCTTGATCCACTCATCCCAACGCAAGCTCCCTACATTCACTACAGCCTCCCACCTAGTGGTGAAATCAGTGTAGAGAAGCTCTGTGACCCTAAGCACCCGCTGCAACATGATTTGGTATTTTCCCTGAGGGCCCCACATGGGTATCAGCTTCTACTCCAAGCAGAAGCTGGTATCAGCAGCACTTGTCCCTCCTGCACACCCCTGCAAGAAAGGGGCTCATGCACCCAGCAGGAAAATGCTCAGCATTTCCCCTTGATCCACCATCCACTCACCCTACCTCCTCCACTCTCCAACAGGGGAACTGAATCCTAACAACCATGTTTTTACCCCCACAAGGAGAGATGTCAAGTTTGAAGGCTTTACTAATTCATCTTTTTTTCCTACTGCTTTTGATAACACTATCTTCTTTTCATTGATTGCTCATTTCAGGGGAGAAATTATTCTCCTCTCACTTAAGGAAGCAAACAAAATTCAGAATGGAGCTGTCCAGCTACACGTGCTTTGGGGCCACTGTCTCCCTCTGCAGTCTCTTCCAGTGCTCGGACCCCTTTAAGTAAGCTCTATCCAAAGCTGAATGCAGCCTCTTTCAGGTCTCCTGAAGTAGGGAAGACCACACACTATCTGGGCTTGTTCTGCCACACTGTGGCTGTGTCAGAACAATACACTTGGCCTTAACGTGAAAGGGAGACAGGGAAATGTAAAGAATAGCGAAGGAGGAAGTAAGCAGTAGATGGGAGGGCAAACACGAAAGGGAGGTGGAAAGACTGAGGACTTGGGGTAATGATGTGTAGCCTAACAACCACTCCTAAGTACTGAGCACTTACAGCATACAGGCTCTACGCATCATCTAATTAAACCCCGGGTACCTGGGCCACTGCCCACCTCAGCTGCTCGGCCTCACGCAGCACTGAAGGGATAATCTCTGTCCTATCACATAGCTGCTGGAGTCGGGTCCATCTGCAACCCATACCTGTTCTGAAAGGCCAGTGGCCATGTTTTTAAGTATTTTAACACTGATCTTTGTGTGTGATCACTCACAACTCTGAAAGTAAGTCCAGTATTATCCCAGACTTCAGGTGAGGAAAAAACTGCTAAGAGGAGTCACGTTACCTGCTCAAACTCAAAAAGAATTTGGGATTCTCTGATGTAGAACCCAAAAGCTAGGCCTGACACCTACATCTCTCTCCCACGAGCATTTGGGAGACTCCTGGGCACGATCTCCAGAGGGTTCTGGAGTCCAAGTGGCAGCGGGGCAGCACACAGCTACTTATCACATCAGCTTGAGGGAAAGCAGGGGGAACAGCTGCAAGCATGAGTGGGGTTAACCCTTCCTTCAACAGCATCTCCTCCTGCACAGTTGTTTAGCACACAGCTCAGCCCTTGGCCTCCAAGAAACAGCCATCCAATGGGAGACTGTCAGACATGTAAAGCAGGCATCTCCAGGGCAGAGGGCTCTGAAGCTTGGCCCTGGAAAATAGCCTCACCAGACCAGTGTGAGACCCACAGCTCCCAGTCAGCTAACTCCATCTCAGAAGTCCTGATGTCAGAGCCCATGGGGTTCCAGGAGGTCCTCTTCTGGCTGGCCCTGGGCTCAGCTGGGGAAGGGCAGCTCTTTACAGCAAAGTAATGATCCCCAGTTCCAGAAAGAGAACTGAATGCCAGCCACACATGAAAACCCTCCAAGCCCTCCCAGGGTGAGGGACCACTTCTTAGGCTGGCACAAAGACCCCGCTTCATTTTGTGCCAGGCTGCCTCTCTACCAGCATCCCCACAACATGAGGCTCTTTGTGCCCATGTGCTCCTCCACTTGGGATGTGTGCCCCGCCTCTTCTCACCTGAGTAATTCCCAACACCTATAACACTCGGAATGAGCATCCCCTACTCAGAGACACCTGATCTGACTCGCAGGCTTTGTTCTGCGCTGACCCCTCCACAATTAAGCTATAAGATCCCAAGTCCCCAAGACACAGAGATGCCAAACTTTAGTCCCTTAGGCCAGGAAGGAAGCTCATCTGCCTGCTGCAAAGGGAGGAGTCCCCACACACAGAGGCTTCGGGCCCGGGATGGCTAACCTGATGAGGGTTGCATTCTCAAACCACTTGGTGAAGCCAAGGTCCCCTGGTCTTCTATAGTATCTTTGAGTCAAAGTCACTCTTAACTCCTCTCTTCTGAACATTTTTATTCTCCTGTAGATTTTGAGAGGAAGAGAATAATCTATACCTTTGAATTTCACCCCTCGTTGCCTCCTCTTTCTTTCTTTCTACCTCTCCTCCTGAAAACACTTTGGTGTTATCTCTGTGCCCAAGGTTGTGACAGAGATGTTCTAATTGGGGTCAAGTTGGTCAAAAGCTGGAGCAAAGCTTGGCATAGTGATATATGCCTGTAATACCAGTTACCTAGGAGGCTGAGGCGGGAAAATTGCAAGTTTGCAGTGAATATAATGAAACTGTCTCAAAATAAAATTTTAAAAAGTCTTGGGATATAACTCAGGGGTAGTGCCCCTGCTTAGCATACAGGAGCACCTGGGCTTAATCTCTGGTGCCAAGAAGAAACAAAAAGCAAAAGTTAGAGCAAAAGCTAGAGCCGGCAATGATGAGGCCAAGTATAGGCCTCTGATAGGATAAGCATCTCACAAAGCTCTGTCCATGGTGTCCATCAGCACAGTCAGCTCCATCCCCTCGGTCCCTCACAGAGGGTCCAGTCATCCAGCAGAGACCCGTGCCTGCCACGCCCATCAGGCCCAGCTTATGCTGGGCAGTGCTCACTGGCTGGGCTTGGCATCTGTCTCGCTGGAGGCAAAAACTGGACAACAGTGCAGTATTTCATCTTCCAGCCACTGAAGGAAGCTTACGGTCCAAATCCTCCCATCCATCCAAACTGAGCCCTTCCATCACTCCAAGGTAAGTGTCAATGGAGCAATGCTACACTGAGCATTGTTTTTCCTTCCTAAAAGGCACCAACTTCTTTCCCTTTCTAGGATCTGCTACAAAAAGATTTAGTAGCTATGGTGCCACCTGATGTTTTTCCAGGGAATTGCATTAGGTCAGGAGATTTTTTTTTTTTTTTCCTGCATTATATTTTGTCCTGAATCACCCCATCTACTAATTAATTACTACTAATTACTAATTGCTACTAATTACTTTTTTTCTAGTAGACATTTTTTCCTCTTGTTCTCATTTATCTCCAGCTAATAGGCTTTCAAAGGGCATGACCTTCCCACTCAAGTCACACAATTTAAAAGTTGTAGATGCCACCTACAAAAAAGCCACCCTTTCTCTCCTCCTGGCTTCCAGGCTCAAGGACCCCGACAATGACTTCATTACCTACACCTTGCACAGACATCAGGAGCTCCTGTGGGACAGACCCAGCCAGCAGCCAGCATGGACACATTACAATTCCAGCTTATTAATTCTCCTGAGTATGGCTCAGGAGATGAAAAAAATAAATGGATTAAAAGCACATTCATTATCTTCACTGAGCTGTGGGATGAAATACTTATTTTGGAAATAATGATTCCAGGTAGGAAGGCAGTAAAAAATAGGGTCCTTGAGAAGTGAGTGTTTCATTACCCAATTTCTCAAATGTGAGCACTTAGTGCTTTTTCATTATCATACATTATTACAGTTCTATAAAAATCATTCCCAGGAAATCTGTACCAAAGTTTGAAGCCTTTCAAAGTGAGCTAGAAGGCTCCATTTAGAAGACTTGTCACTAGAGAAATTATACTTTCAACCGTAAGCATTAAGATTTACTCCCGCTGCGCCACACACTCAGCCCTTATCAGCCCCGTGTGAGCGTGGCTGCGATGGCAGGTCGTAGGCTCCTCTCCTCTTGTACAAGCTTCCAAAGACAGCCACGTTTTCCGAACGCTTATGACGTCTCTGTTTCTCAGTTGGGAAATCTGATGCCCAGAAAGTTTAAGTAGAATCACTTTAAGGGAAAACAAGTGAGGCAAAGATAGTGCTGGCTGAGTGGGGGTTGGGGTAGGGGTGCCCCATCTAATCTGGATTTTCAACTCACCATTTCTCACTCTGTGCACAGCAGGGTTGGGTAGCATCTCCCTCACCTGTGCTCGGTCTCGAGTGCTCCACTATCTTCACTGGGATCCAGATCTGCATGCGAAAGCATGCGCCTACTTGCTCTACAATCTGCAGATCACACACACACACACACACACACACACACACACACTTGAGAGGTTTTTGACACCTAATATTCTGTCAAAGGAGTCAGGGAAATGCCACAGCTTATTGGCAGCCTCAGGAATTTCCCAGTGCCTCAGACAACCGTTCAGTTCCTGAGCTGTAAAATGTCACCAACTGAGACAGAAGTAAGACCCCACACAGTCGCACTGGATGACGGTGATGCTTTTATATGTGTCTAGACCTGGGCAGCTATAAGTGTTTCACAAGGTCACTCTGCAGACATTCCTGGCACAGCACTTTTCAAACTCTAATGCAAATAAAGATCACCTGGAGATTTGTTAAAATGCAGAGTCTGATCCTATAGGTCTGGGGCAGGCAGCTCTAGAGTCTATTTATTTCTCAGAAGCAGGGATAAGGTTGATTCTGCTGCTCTGAGGACCATTCTTCGAATAGCGAAGCTCTAGAGCACAGTTTGGAAACGACAGACCTGAGCACTGAAGAGCCCAGAGCCAGGAGCACCTCACCCATGATGCGGCTCACATGGAGCATTAACCAGCTTAAGATATTTCCTATGTTACTGTTGTATGAACACATATAATTACGGTGTGAACCATACATGAAAAAACCTCTGTAGAACATGTTCTGAAAGAGCCCAGATAAGGAGTGAAGCAAGATTTACTCACGGGAGAAGCGGGCAAGTGGTCTAGCATTCTTGTCTCCAGCTTCATTTGCAACTGAAAAACAAGGCAGAGAATGCAATTAAGAACAAGGCAGATGTGTCCACAGAACATGCCCAGGCTACTGCTGATCTTCTGGATGATTTGACATTAAGCTGTGTTTGAGTCTTAAAGTAGATAAAAGTAACTTTACCTTTTCTGGAATTCCAGTGCTGCTTTCAACACCTAAACGAGGTCAAAGTCTCAGTCATTGTGTTTAGAACATTTGAATAAGGCTAGAGAAGACCAAATCAACACTGAGTCTAATATGCCTAAAGAGGTGAACTGGCTTGCATCTACTTAGCAAGAGGCACAAGCACGACATTTCCATAAAAGTGCACATCCTTCTGCCCCAGGCTGACCCCGATGAGGTTGGCCTTGCACACACACACACACCAAGATTCTGAAATGAGTCCAGGGTTTTCTAGCCAAGACAACAATTGCATAAGATAATGACAAACTTGGACTTTTTTAAGAAGAATATTAAAGTTAGATGATAACAAACAGGATAGGTCCTAAAGGAGAATTTACAGAATTGCTCAGAGAACAGCTCTAAAAAGCCTTGGGTGTAAAGCTTCTAAGAAAGGCAGTTTGCTTCCTCAGATGACCTTTCTATAATTCATCATCTATACATGGGTTCACAATCAATATCCCCTATAATTTATGAACCCATCTTTGCTGGTAAAGTAAGAAATCAGTTATTAGGTAGAAACACAAATTTTGCACACTGTAAATATCACTTTTGATTCCCTTGAAAATGATACCTTCCTTGACTGTTTTGTGTACACACGGAAGACAGACATAAATATTTGTGAATATTTACTTGAATGAACACCCAAAGTAATCAACAGGAAAAACATGTTCATTTTTAGCTCAGAAGAAACATTCAGTCCACAGACAGAATGGAGGAGATTGCTACTTAATTGTGACAGTGTAGGAATCATGACTATAAACAAAAGAAAAATTAATTTCTTGAACTTACTACATGATTTTATAACAAATGAGTCAAAAATATCTTTCACACTCCCTGAGAAATAAGCATTTTAAGCTTCTGCACACTTAGACAATTTTTAAAAGTTAATGTATTCAATCTCTATCTCTTTTTTCTTCCTGGCATTAGGGTCCTCCCCCATGGGATCTCCGGTCTTTGTATATTATGAACAAGGCATTACTCTAGAAGGCCTGCAGGGGGAGCTCCTGCCATCTCCCACATCACAGCATTTCAAAACAGAAGGAAGTTGAATAGGGTCTGTGCAAAATACATAAAACCAAAGTTGATTGACAGAGAGAGAGACAAACAGACAGACACAGAGGGAGAGAGAGAGAGAAAGAAAGAAGAAAGGAAGAAAGGAAGAAAGGAAGAAAGGAAGAAAGGGAGAAAGGGAGAAAGGAGGGAAGTAAGGAAGATAGGAAGGAAGGAAGGAAGGGAGAGAGGGAGGGAGGGAGGGAGGGAGGAAGGAAGGAAAGGAAGGTAGGAGAAAAAGCAGAAGAATGAGTCAGTAAGTTATGGATGCAAATTTCTGAATTCAAATTGCTTCCCTTTTACACATCATAGATCTCTAAAAATGAAAATAGAACAGTTAGGTTTGTTTTTCTCCACCCAGCCCCAGGCCTTTGCTTGCAAAAACTGATAGACTGACTTAATGCAGGGAGTACACGGGCCACTACAGTGTCTGAGTTGTAAGCAGCATGAGTCAGGGAGACTTCTCCGAAGTCTGTGGCTCCACCAGGATCTTAAAGGCTGGGTAAGGATTGGCCAGGTGAAAAATTGGGAAGGGTGTTCCCGGGACGGGGGTAAATGCAGCAGTAGGGAGGAGGGGACAGTGTGTGAAGGGAGGCTTTGGGGATGGCCAATTAGAGCGTGCTAATGGGCACTGAACTCCGGGAAATATAGTTCCCAGAGTTTAGAACTGTATTCTGCACCTTGAAGTGTTCACATTCTCCCAGGACCACTACTTTACACTCAGCCCCAGACCTCCTGCCTCACCACCCAACTAAAGGATGGGAATTGCTAGCGCAGATCCATGTCACACCAGCACAGGTAGGAATCCAGGTCTGGGGTCGGGGGCACAAGGAGAGCTATTGTAAGGTCCACTATGTGTGTCATTTTCCTACACACAGATCTGATACCACTCCCCTGCTAAAAAGTCTCAAGTAATAGAGTAATGTCCCAACAACTGCAAGACCCAATGCAGCTCGCCTGCCCTAGAACCCAAGGGCTCCCTCACTCCATTTTATTTTTCCAATTCTATGTTGGTCAGCTTTCCATCACCACAACAAATATCTGAGATAATTTGAAAAAAATTTCATTTTGCCACATGGTCTGGAGTTTCAAGTCCATGGCCATTGCTTTTAGGCTTCTGTAGTGGGTGTCTGATGGCAATGGTGGGGAGTAGTTGGTGAAGCAAAACTGCTCACCTCATGGCTAGGAAGCAAAAGAGAGAGTAAGAAGGGGGCCAGGGACCCACACTCCACTTCATGAGCAGGGCTCCAGTGACCTGAAGACCTGCCATGGTCCCACCTCTAAAGATTCCCATGCTCTCCCAACAGCACTGCTCTGGGTCAAAGCTTTAACACATGGGGCTTTGAGGGACACTCAGTATCCAAACTCTAGAAACTATATTTCCCAGAGCACAATTCAGTGTCCATTAATAAGCACTCACTGGCCATCCACAAACACTCCTTCTCACACTGTCCCCTCCGCCCTGCTACTTCAGTTACCTCCATTCTGGCGACACCCTTCCCAATTTTTCACCTGGGTAATCCTTACACATCCTTTAAGATCCTGGTGGAGCCACAGATCAGAAAAATCTCCCTGACTCATGCTACTTACCTCTCTGCCCATATAACTGACTCTCCTTCCAGATCTGCAGTTCTCAAACTTCAGCAGGCATTAGAACCACAAGGAAGGTTTTCCAAAATGAAGACTGGAGGGTCTGTTAAAATACATGTTCTGACTCATTTGGGTCTCATGAGTACTGAATTTCTGGCAAGTTCCCTGGTGATGTTGTGATGTTACTCTCAGGATTAAATTTTGAGAACCATTTTTCTAAACTATAAGCTATGCCATCCAAGGCAAGGATCATAATACCTGCCCACCTTTGTATCTCTATTCTTTTGCGCAGTGACTGCCCACAGAACAGTGCCTGCAGTCAGTGTTTTTAGAGCTGAAGCAGACCAAATACATGAAAATGCCCACAAGTGGCTTTGTTGACCAAAAACATGAGACTGACTTTCACAGAGAGCCCCAGGCGTGTTTCATATGGCCCCACAATGCTTTTAATTTTAAAAAAATTAGTTGTCTGCATTTTTTAAAGTTAAGAGATTTCAATTATAAATATATATTTCCAACTTCTTTAGAATATCTGGGGAGACAGTAACAAGAGGCTCCCAGCCTACAGAACAGCAGTGGGGGCTGGGGATATAGCTCAGTGGCATGAGTGCCTGCCTGACAAGCACAAGGTCCTGAGTTCAATTCCTAGTAACAAAAAAAGAAAGAGGGAGGAAGGAAGGGAGGGAGAGAGACAGAGACAGAGAGAGAGACAGAAAGAAAGAGAGAGAAGAGAAGAGAAGAGAAGAGAAGAGAAGAGAAGAGAAGAGAAAAGAAAAAAGAAATGAACAGAACAGAACAGCAATGGGAAGACACACTGGGATGCCCATCCATGAGTGACTCCATCTTCCCCATGTTCAAGATGCAGCACTTTGATGACTATTGCTGAACTTTTATCCTCTCTGCATGCAGAAGGGAAGTTCAAATGATAAAAACTCAGCAGAGACCTGCACTACAAGAAGTCACTGTAGCCAGATTTGCAAAGCCCTTTCATCCCCAGCCTATAACTTTCCAGACACATCTGATGGCCCACCAGCAGGACAACCTCCCAACACTCCTATTTGCCTTGTATTTTTAAAAAGCATACAACTAGCTTTAACAATGAAGTGGATGTTCCATTTTTAAGGCACATTAGATCTTTTTTTTTTTTTTTTGTTTTTTCTCCAGTACCGGGAACCAAACTCACAACCTTGCACTTGCCAGGCAGGCGCTTTGCTGCTGAGCTAAATCCCCAGCCCCACGTTAGATCTTATTAAAATGACTATGTAGATTTATAGAAAGTTGTCCATGCCATAGGAATGGCACAAAACACAAAGGTTGCAGATCATGGAATGGTGCAGCCACGGGTTTCACCCAGTCTTGACATATATACAAGAATGAGGGATTTAACGGTGCCTCTCCATCCAAGTTTACCTAGGTGTGATTAGTTAAGAAACGGATTTGAAGATATGATAATACAGATTCACTGGTCTCAGATCCACCAAAGGAAAATTTCCACAAGTGGAGACAGAACTCTAGACTCTAAACAAGTGCCTCAGAAGTCATTTAGATAATCTAATGTCTGAGAAGCAGCGACCTAAATGATGTGTTATTGGTATAGTTGTATGTCTGCTGAGCACTTTTCCTCCCAGAATTACCCAGAAAAAGTTTCCAAGAACGTGCCACGGAGATCATGGAACTGAGAAGGGAAGTTAACTCAGAGCAGTGAGTATCCTAACCCCGGACAAGCAAGGGGCTGCTGATGTCCCAGCCAAGCCACAATTGATTCAGGCCATCAGAAAGGACAGGGAAGAGTGTGGGAAGGATGAGCAGCCAAACCGTCGTGTGGTGGCCTGGGCAGGTGCACACTGCTTTGTAACCAAAGCTAGTACCCAAACACTTCCACCCTTGTTTTGAAAGCCCTGACACCTGGGTGATCATAAACGCAGCTGAAATTCTGAGTGCCAGGGAAACACACAGTGTGCAGCATGCCCAGAGCAGAGCTGGCCTCCTGTGAGGAAAGCTGTTGAATGTGCTGGTGGCTGCTGCTTTGCCACAAGCTCTGGGTCTGGCTCAGAAACCCTCTGCAGGTGAGTTCTTTCAGGGAGCCTGGTGGCTAGAATGTCAGGCACAATGGACCTCCCTAGAGAAGAGAAGATTAGAATGAGGTTCCAGGCACTTTCTCTAGTTACTGAGAGGAGATAAAGCT